ATATTGTTTTGGCCTGCACCAAAAAGAGAAATGGTACAAAGACGAAGTTGTGGTAATTCGAATGTCTATTTAAAATTTACACTTTGGCACTCCATTGTGGTTCAGTATTTGTTTATTAGAAAAAAAATAATGTTTTTTTTTATATAGGATAATGGTGACAAACGAGCACACAGTTCACCTGATGGTAAGTGGTTGCTGTGGCCCATAGACATTTACATCTATCTTCGATTACGAATCAAAATGCAGATGCGTTATCACCCGTGTGGACTAAGATGGAATGTCTCGTTTCCAGTAAAAAGGGTCTCCGGTTCTCTACACTCACCATACGAAACACAGCAGCGTTAAGCTGCTATTTTGTTTCTGAGAACGTTTAATTTTATTTTTGCGAAAGCAAAATGGTAAGTAAATATTATGTAAGTAAAATAATTGTCACAGGAACTAGTGCACCCCCACGTCCAAATCAGAAACTTCATTCCGCATTTTTGATTATCGTGCTACCGACTTTATTTTCATGTTTTTCTTGTAAGGGTTTGGCCGAGGTGGGGATGAAGAACAAGGAAAGGAGTTGCAAGCTTACACCAGTGTTTTACAACTATTACATCCGATGGTAAATCTTGAACGAACATGGTAAATCGCACTAACTTAGCGTAACAAAAGCTTATTCACTCTTGCATTGAAGACACCCACATTACAAACGGATGGAAATACAGATGCTTGCAAATTACTATACTACTTTTCTGTATGCATTATGAACGCCGAAGCAAACTAAAGTTTTTCGGTTTTTTCGTTCTCAGCAGCAGCCCGGAGTCAGGTATAAGTAGCGGCACGAAAGTCTAGCGGTGACCGTTATTGCTACTAAGTCGCGCTGATCGGCTCGTTCGTATCGTTCGCATGCGCTGACTGGCTCTCCAGTCGCATTCGTGCAATTCAATTCGTGCGGATCCCCTTCAATTTTCGTTCAGCGCTAGACTTACGTGCTGAGATTTGTAGTTGGCAGTGCTTCACCGCCGTGTCTGCGAAAGTACGTAAATCTACGTAAAATATATATAAAAGGCAGGAGCATCAAAGGTACATCAGTATCTACGGTGATCGTAAATCCGCCTCAGACATGTGTCATTCATTCGTTTCTAGTGACCCGATTAGTTAAGTATTGATTCATCTTACTTACCGGGTCATTCATTTCAAATTCAAATAGATCATTTCGAGTTTCAGTACTCTGTGATCTGTGCGATCCGGTCGATAATGTTGGTCGTCAGACATTACTAAACTCTGGTCATAGTTCTTGTCAATCGTTTGATCCGAAACGTTCAAAAAATGTAATTACAATCATCAATACTTTGATGCGACCGGGTCAAATGAACGAATCATTCACGGTTGACACATGTCTAATCCCGCCTGCCAAGTGTGGGGGTTAAGACAAATACTCCCTACAACAGAAGATGGTAGAGCCATGCTGCAGCTATATTACTGGTATAGTTGTAGTACGAATGGGTCGACTCGACCGGGGAAGGACCGCGCTCTCACAGAATACCAGCGTAAAATAGCAGCTTAACGCTGTTTCGTATGGTGAATGTAGAGAACCGCAGACCCTTTTTACTGGAAACGGGGCATTCCATCTTATTTCTCACGGGTGACAACGCATCTGCATTTTGATTCGCAAACGAGGATAGATGTAGATGTCTATAGATCACAGCAACCACTTACCATCAGGTGGACTGTGTGCTCGTTTCTCACCCTATCCTATAAAAAAAAGATGTCCTGCAGTGAACTATTACGGGCCGATGAAGTAAGTAAAATTATATTATATATATTTAAATATATATCTTTTTTTTTTTTATAAGATAAGGGTGACAAACGAGCACACAGTCCACCTGATGGTAAGTGGTTGCTGCGGCCCATAGACATCTACATCTATCCTCGTTTGCGAATCAAAATGCAGATGCGTTGTCACCCATGACGACTAAGATGGAATGCCTCATTTCCAGTAAAAAGGGCCTCCGGCCACATGCACTCACCAAGCGAAACGCAGAGGTAAACCTCTACTTCACGTTGGTATTCTGTGAGGTCGTGGTACCACCCCGGTTCGAGCCGGCTCATCCGTGCGACAGCAAAAGCCGCCGCGTGGCTCTACCACTGTTATAAATCTTTTATACAAAGGCGACAAACGTGCATTCGGTACACTTAATGGTAAATTAATATTGTGCCCCGCAGATAAGTTGTCATTCCAGAGGAGAGAAAGAGTACAAGAGAGCCAGTATAATTACAATCTGTTAGGCAATCTATTTTAATTCTCAGAGGTGACAACGCACCTGTATTCTACTCGTACTTTGTTTTAAGTTGCCTGCAGGTGCTCATACTACTGTACGTTAAACATCGATAGTTTGGTGATCCGATAGTATCGATAGTTTTAGTAAAAACTATCGATAGTATCGATAGTCTATCGATAGTTTAAAAAATTGTAGGATTAGCGTAACATCAATAAAATAACAAATGTTATACGAAACGCATTTTTAACTTGATATATATTCGAAATAAGAATCAAAAATCAGTATTCATCATTATTATAGTTACACATCAATCATTAAAATAGCAGCTATTTTGTTATATAAACAACAATTCGTTTAATCTTTTTTCTTTTAACTTATTTCTGCGTTCGGTTATAATTTGTCCGGCCTTCGAAAAGATCCTTTCCGAAGGCACAGAAGATGCTGTAATACAGAGATAGAGTATCGCTAATTCCTTCAATTTATTGTTGGTGTATTTTCAGTATGTTATAGGACACTCTTTTCTGCCAATTACTGGCTTCTCGAAATATTGCCTGACATCTACCAATGAGTTACTCAAAGGGGTCGTCCGGAACGTCGAGGAATCCCAACAGGTCATTAGATGTTCCTGAAGACGTGGATGGTGTTGGTTGCGTTTCTTTTACAGCCAAGCGTTCTTTAGTTAAATGGCTAGCATAGGCCTTTTCCAGCCACTGACCAGCTCGCTTCTCGTCGTCACTTGTTCTGAACCCCTTCTTCTTAAATCGGGGGTCCAATATTGTAGCAAGTACAACAGGTGTCCTATTTTCATAGGGACTTAGTCTTTTGTAAACTGATCCCTTCACGCAGAGTAATATTTTCTTTCCGCTTTCAGTAACAATTTTTTTTAAAAAAAAATACTAGTAATGTTATTAAACATTACTAATATTCCCTTTAACCACTTCTGGTAAGCTTAAAATGCTTGTGTTAGAAGTGGTTCACGACAGTAGTCGAATGGCGGATTCGAACCCACGACCTTACGTGTTCGCGGCCCGCGTCCTGCCATTAGGCTACTGACGCTTCAATTTTTTTGAGATTCAACTTCTACTAATTTCATATTTATTCCACGAATCAATGGTATTATCAGTGACAATGTTATATAGCTTTCTCCTGAAATTTTTAACGTAGCTAGATGGAAAGGTTCCAGAATCTGAATTGTTTCTTGAATAATTAGGTATTCGTCAGCAATGACTCCTGGTGGAGCCCGATTACATTCATTAAGTGCGAGAGTTAATTCTGTCTTCATTGTAACAAGTCTTTGCAGCATGTGGTATGCACTGTTCCAGCGGGTGGGTACTTCCTGGATCAATTTCAGTTCTACTTTATTTAATTCATGTTGAATAGCCCGTAATTTATCGCTAGCTAGAGTAGAGTACTCATCTTAAAAATGTCACAATCGATTTAAATTTTTTCAGAATCTGGTCTAAGCAGGTCACAGCAAACAGTAACAGAAACAGTGGATAACCATATCCATACCTCATTATGTTTTCTCTTCATATGATCGATCAAGTTCGTAGTATTTCCACTTAGTTTAAACTTTCTTTTACACAAAGAACACTTGGCAAACTTTTCATTAGTCTTTCATGTTTTACTCATGTTTTATTGTTTAATTCTAAATTGTTTGTTACTCCACTCAACTTCAAAAATCAACAATAAAAAACTGACTGACCGACTTTTGTCTTGTAAATGAATGATATACGCACGGCTATTCCCCTACTATAGAGAAGAATCTCAATGTCTACGCCTTTCAATGAATGATATACGCACGGTAATTTCCCTACCATAGAGAACAATCTCAATGTCTACGCCTTTGTCACTATGGCCGGGGAATAACCTACATACGTGCATACCTCGACTCTAGGGATGTAAAAGTAGTACTAGAGTAAACAATCGATCGATAGTTTTAAAAACTATCGATTGTATCGGTAGCCATTTACTATCGATACCATCGATAAGTCTATCAATGTTTAACCTACATAGCTCATACACTGCAGTAGTCACTTACCATCAGGTGGACTGTGAGCTCGTTTGTCACTTATTTTTTATAAAAATAATAAATTTTAACATACATAATAAAAAATTTGATGTGTCGCCATCGAGTATTAAAAAGAATGCCTCGTCTCGCTACTAGTGCTCTACACTCACTATGAATCATAACAACATTAAGCTGATGTTTAACACTTGAGTTCTATACAAGCGTGCTTCTTCCCATCTTTTGTTTTTATATAATAAACGAGCCCACAGTTCACTTGTCGGTAAGTTGATGCTGCGGCCCATAGACATCTACATTTGAATCAAAATACAGATGCGTTGTTAGCCGTGAGGACCAAGATGGAATACCTTGTATTCAGTAAAAAGGGTCTCCGGTTCTCTACGTTCACCATACGAAACACAGCAGCGTTAAGCTGCAAGTTTACGCTGGTATACTGTGAGAGCGTGGTCCCAACCCGGTCGAGCCGACCTATTCGTGCTACAACCATAGTATAGCTGCAGCGTGGCTCTACATGATATAGAATATCTATAGGACTTCAGGGCTTTACCACAAAAAAAATCGCCAAAATAGCAAGACAATGCGCCTGGGATCGCCTGGGAAAATACTGGGATCACCAGTCCGTTTACTAAGAGTAGCGTTAATGGCACCATGGGAGAGGTCCACGTTCAAATTGAACGTATGCGTAATGAAGAAAATAAATAAATATGGAAAATATCAATTCATTTATTATAATCACCAATAAATTAGTACATACATTCAGTTATTATAAAATATAATTTCACAATATACCCAATTATACTTATCACTCACTTCCAAATTATACAATAGTAAAACTAAAATGCATTATCAAAATCCGATGCCTACTTTTTTATTTGTTTACGGACTCGTAGGTATAATTATACATTTGCCAGTGTCAAGTAATAAGAAATTACCCAATATACTTAGTATTATTATGTTAACTTCTTCAAAATATGCTGATGCGTTATATTGCGAAGTTTTTGGGAGATTTTGACGACAGCTCAACACAACGGAGTATCCACAAAATTACTTGCGGTTTATTTTAACATTGAATCACTTGTTACGTCGTTTCTACTAATATTCACCATGCTCAGATGCTTAGCACAAAAAAAAACATCATTTTTTGTATCAAAATTTACTTCAAACCATTATATCAACATTAAAACTGAAGCAACAAGCCGGCAACGGTTAAGTTCCCGCCAAAACCTCGTTACTTTTTTATTGCATAAAACTCTTCTTTCTACCAATTTGGTAGAAAATTATTTTTGATTAACTAAGCTAATTTATTTCCGTATAAATAAATATATACAAAAGGATCCTAAAAAAATGAAAATCATTACAATGAATGAAAAATCATATTACACTTAGCATTTTCATTGTACATATTTGTAAAAATAAATTAATTAAAAAATATACACAATATTTTAATCGTTAAAAATATTATACCACAGGTGTCTAAAAAAATAATTTGTTATTAAAAACACTTTAAACATTATCAAGCACATAAAATAAACAATAAAATAAAATTTAATATGGCCGACCATTATCTCAAGGTAAATACTTGACTTGATTCGAAACTAAACCTTATGATTATCATCATCATCATTAGGTACATCCCTTTACAAGGCCACTGTTGAATATAGGTCTCCCCCAAGGAATGCCACAAAGCACAGTCGTGAGCCATCCATCCATCTACTTCTTTCGATTTTAGTTTGACTACGTCCAAATATAGTTGATATCATATTATGCTCATTGAATTTTAATTCATTTATAGCTGAAATTGTTTTAAATGTTTTTGAGCTTAGGAATGACCAGATTTAAAAGGGATAAAGGCACAGGAGTAAAGATCAAGAATAATTTTTGAGAATTTTAACATACCAAAGGAATTTTTTTAGTGTTTCAATAATTTATTTCGAGCTACAAGCAATGAGGACTAATAATATTCCGCTCACCAGATGTCGCTAGTTGATACTGAGGTGAAGTTTTTTGTTACACAATGTCATTTCATGCAGAAATTAGTTTTTAAATAAAAGTTTATCAGTTTCTAGAGTATTATATTATTACACAAAGCTATGTATCAGTGACTTGCTCTTTAATTTTTTTTAACTCTTTTCTTTTTGATTTTTCTACTTTTATGAATATCTGTGGTTTTGTTCTAATTAATATAAACAATAACTAATAGTACAGAAAGAAACAGCAACTTTTATATTTTCGAACAAATTAACTTGCTCGGTATGAAATCTGTCAAATATTATACCTCACTTTCTGGTGATAATTATTGTATCTCTAATTATTTTGACATTTTTCAGATTACATTTCGTTATAAAATTTTACAAAAAAAAAAGAAAATTAAAATTCCACCCCTGCCCTAAAATTCTACTCTGTCTTTAAGCATGTTCTTGTTCTTCTCTTGGCGAGGAATCGTTTACATTATCTCTTTCTATCTATCTTACAGTTCAGATTTTATTTGAGATCATTAATTGTGACCAAGTGTTTCATTATAGTGGTAACCTATTGTCATTTTATATTAATTTACTGCGTGTAGCTTATGCTACGTAATAGTGCCAATATTAAAATTAAAGCTGCTTATCCTGGACCGGTCAATCTTATTTATATCTTTATATTATAGTACATAGGCTTATCATCCATCATGGAGTTCATGTCGCCTAATTTTTGGTCACAAGTGGGCCATAACGACTGCTCTATATCCATCTCGCTTGTACCCGTCGCCAATGCCGTCTGGGCTGGAAGCTGTCCCTGTTTAAAAGATCAATAAGAACGATTTATTTTTAAGTACACAAACCAGAATACCGTACCGTGTAGTGGCGGTGTGAGAATATCTATTAAAGGATGACTCACGGTAGACCGTGTCGGGTCCGAGCCGAGTGTCGGCCGTAGCACAGTCAACTAATAGTACATATATTTTGTATGGAGCGGCAACCGAGTGACGCCCGAGCAACGGACAACGCTCGGAAACAACTCGGCTCGGCTCGGCCATTTCCTTGTAGTAGAAAATTTATCAGATTCTGCATCATACAGAGTGATCGCAGTAGCCACTAATTCCAGATCGTCAAAATTCATCATGATTGTAGTCTAGTTACAACACTATTTTTGCTCGCACGAGTATACTGCATCACGGCGCAACGCTATTTGCTCGATTGAGGCGCGTCTTTTCAATTACATACACGGGACCGGCTCGGTGACCGTGCTACGGCCGACACTCGGCTCGGACCCGACACGGTGTAGCGTGAGTCATCCTTTCACGATGTCGTAAGAGGCCTTTCTGATAACAACTGAAAATATTAAAAAACTGCGGTTGTCAACCCGCGTGGTAACCGAGGAAACTACGGTAAATATCGCCCCTACGAGGCACTCTATGCAGCAGGCTTTTGTTCAGAAATGGACTTTTAATAGACTGTGATGGTTAACCAGAATAAACAGCTTGACTCTGCTGTGTTTCGTATGTTGAGTGTAGAGAACCGGAGACCCCTTTTTACTGGAAACGAGGCATTCCATCTCAATCCTCAGGGGTGACGACGCATCTGCATTTTGATTCTTAATCGAAGATAGATGTAGATGTTTATGGGCCACAGCAACCACTTACCATCAGGTGGACTGTGTGCTCGTTTGTCACCCTATCCTATAAAAAAAAATAAACACGAAAAATACAAAGAGGACAAAGGAGCAAGAACATTTGCGGTCGAATGAATATTTATTTATTTATTTATTTATGCTTTATTTGCACACCAAGTACAAAAAGGCGGACTTAATGCAACAGGGCATTCTCTACCAGTCTACCTCCATCTTGAGTTCAAAAGTAAAATTGAACAAAAAATGCGACCCGGGTCTAACGAATCATTCACGATTGACACATTGGCGAGTAATATACAAGGTGCGGGACTTTACACTGCAACGATCCGACCAAGCGGGAGCTCCTGAAGGATAACTAAAACATAGCAAACCTGTCTCCGTTTCCCCCGCGTCCGCTTTGGCCAGGGCTTCTTCAGATGCACGTAGGAGATGTGGGCTCGCTTTTCGCTAGCGTGTTTGAAGCACTTCCCGCACATCTCGCATTTAAAGGGCTTCAAACCCGTATGTATCTGTTGAGTATAAATTTTATTACGTGTAACTATACCACCGTACCGTGTAGTGGCGGTGTAAGAATATCCACTGCCCCATATCATGCCGTGGGTGTCGTAAGAGGGGACAGAGGGAAACAAATCAGCAAATGGGCAACAGCGTCTTCCTAATAACGACTAAAAATAAAAAATAAAAAACTGCAACTATAGCAAGTACCAGCCTATGAGGCAATCTATAGGGAACGCCTATGTTCAGCAATGGACTTTATACCAGCGTAAATTAGCAGCGAACTCTGCTGCGTTTCGTATGGTGAGTGTAGAGAACCGGATACCCTTTTTTACTGGAAACGAGGCATTTCATCTTAGACCTCACGGGTGACAACGCATCTGCATTGCGAATCAAAATGCAGATGCGTTGTCACCCGTGAGGACTAAAATGGAATGCCACGTTTCCAGTTCTCTTCACTCACCATACGAAACACAGCAGCGTTAAGCTGCTATTCTGTTAGAGCGAGGTCCTTTCCTGGTCGAGTCGAACCATTCGTGCTACAACTATACCAGTACCATAGCTGCAGCATGGCTTTGCCACATTAAATAATATAATAAAATAATAATATAGCACATAATAATTAGTAATTAAATAATATTTTTTTAAGAATTAACCTATTTTATTTTATTTGTTTTAGTTTGATTGTATTGTATTAGATTATAAATATGTCATTTGCATGGGCCATCTATGTAAAGGGGATTCATTCTTGGCTTAATGTGGACAAGTTGTTTTCTAAAAAGTATTTTTACGAAAAAATATAATTAAATCTAAAATTAATATTTTTTTAATTGTCATAGTAGAAAAGTAAATGTATAAGCAAGTCGTTTATTAAGTATTTAAGCCAATTGAGTTCAAAACGCGTCGTTTTTTTTTGTTGGAGGCTGATTCTGTGTTGCCACATTAATAATAATTGTAGTTATGGTCTTTCGATTATTAAAATAATCGATTTATAAATCTGAGTAAATAAAAATTATATACTTGAAAGTGCATTCAAGTGGTTTTAGAAGGTTTTTATTATATTTATTTTCCTTTAATTACATAAAAACAAACAAAACACTCGTTGTTTTGGCCTGCATATCATTTTACATCCGATTATAATATTAGTTCAGTTGTTGTCAACTCGATTATTTTAATTACTTGGCAATACCAACTGTCAATAATGACATGTATATAGTGAAAAAAAAAAACATTCGCTTTTCCTCCGTGTATTGTGAATGTTGTTTCGGTTTTATTTTTATATTTTATTTCATTTTATTTTATGGTCGTGTATTGTGTTAACCCATAGTATTGTACCGTAATATCGTATGGTAGTGTAGTGTAGTGTAGCGTAGTGCACTCACAAACATGTGTCTCTGTCGGTTGCTGTGTGTGGAGAAGTGCTTGCCGCAGTGCGCGCACGCGTAGGTGAGGCGGCGCGGTGCGTGCACGCGGCGATGCGCGACGAGGCGCTGCCGCATGCGGAACGACTTGCCGCACAACTCGCACGCGAACGGCTTTTCACCCGTGTGCACCCAGCGGTGGTCTTTCAGCAGCGCGTAGCTCTGCCGGACAAAGAACATACAGATTAATATATAGAAGAGGAGGGGGGGGGGGGATTAAAAATAAAGTGGGTAAAAGAAAATTAGGGTATTTGTAATTTTGAACAAACGTTCACCCGTGTGCGTACTGCGGTGATTCTTCAGCAGTGCGTAGCTCTGCCGGATATAATAATAATTTTGTAAGAACGCTTGCCGATGTGCACCCACAGGTGCTAGTCTTTTAGGAGGGCTTATCTCTAGGAGACGAGCACTCTACTCCAACTGTCTTAAACTGTCCCAAACAAATCGAAAGCATAGAAAGAGGGAAATAAAAAACAAAATTGAATGAATGCCTTTGAGGTTCCAGCGGTAATCTTTTTAAAATGTGTAAAGCAGCTAAGTAAACTATTACGGGTTTTATTTGAAGCAGCGTATGAAAGAAGGTCCCAATCCATGCCGATAGACTAAATACGATTTTTGTAATCGATAGTTCGGCACAAAAGTCGCTTCATCGGGAACAGGCATTTGCGATCTATTTGTATCTCAGTATTCCTCGGCTTACAACACTGAAAACTTACCCATCCCAGGGCAATCTCATCATCAATTGACACTAGGTGCTAATTACTTAACTACAATATCGGTTACTATAGACCAAGTTTTCAGAGTTTTAAATAGACTTGACCCTGCTAAGGGTGCCGGCTCCGATGGAATACCTTCTATTTTTGCTAAAAGATGTGCTGGAGCACTCGCACTGCCACTTATTATTATTATTATTAATAGCTCCTTAAGTTCTGGCATATTCCCAACAGCTTGGAAAAGTGCTCTTGTAATACCTTTATTCAAGGCAGGTGACACGAGTGCAGTAAAAAATTATAGGTTTATAATATCTATACTTCCAACATTTGCGAAAGTTTTTGAATCCCTATTGTGCCCTATAATATCTTGTCACTTGAAACAGGTTATTGCACCCACGGCTTCGTAAACTCACGTTCCACCTCAACTAACTTAGATTCCTTCGTCGAGGACCTTGCTGAGGGGGTCGATCACGGGAAATCATACGATGCAATATACACCGATTTCAGTAAGCTTTCGACAGGGTAAATTATGAAATACTGTTACACAAACTTTCCTCCATCGAAATAACCGGTATGTTTTTAAACTGGTGTAGATCATACCTTTCAGATAGACAATCAATAGTTGTGGCTGGAGGGTATAAATCCAAAGCATTTACTGCTATATCTGGAGTACCTCAAGGGTCTCACTTAGGCCCTTTATTTTTCAACATTGGAAAATGTTTTCAGGACTCTAAATTCTCAATGTTCGCTGAAGACTTAAAATTTTATACAATAGTTAACAATAGTCATCTGATGATGCATTATTACTGCAGAGTGATTTAAATAATTTATCGATGTTGTGTACTGAGAACGGAATGAGCATGAATCCTGATAAATGCCAAGTAGTGCGATTTAGCAGAAAAAGTCATTTACCAACCAGACTCTATCATATCAATGATGTGCCACTAAGAGAGGTTAGCCACATTCGAGACCTAGGAGTCATCATTGACAGCAAACTACGCTTCAATATTCATATTGACAATATTATAAATAAGGCTCTTAGAATGCTGGGCTTTGTCATTCGAAACTGTAAAGAATTTAGAAATCCCATGACAAAAATTTCAGTATATAACTGCCTTGTACGTGGTATGTTAGAATATGTCAGTACTGTGTGGAATCCGCACGACAGTACATATATCAAACGCTTAGAGAGTGTATAAAAGCGATTTTTATGGTATTTGTCCTATAGTTGCAACTTAGCCAAGAAACTTCCAAGCTACAACGATTGACTACTACATTTTCGCCTCAAATCACTCCGACACCGTAGGGAACTGCTTGAAGTCATGTTTCTGTATAAGCTAATAAACGGAAATTTTGACACCCCTGATCTTTTATCTAGAGTAAATATTGCTGTACCTAGAAAGCCATACAGACTTAAGAAACGTCCCTTTAAAAGTTATCCAGCTACGTCAAATTTGGGTCATTAAGCTCCATTTAACAGAGCGTTGAGGAGTTACAATCTCATTCTCATTCTCAGCTAGATATTTTTTTAACACAATTTAAAAATTTTGCAGCTCAAGTAATAACAGAACAATTTGATTATTATGTACGATAGGTAATTTTATTTTAATTTAAAATATTTGTGAGCGTTATTTTTATTTTTATTTTCAATTTTTAATTTTGACTTATAATATGAAATTTTATTTTAATGACATTTCGACTTGTGTAAATTTTAATTGATGTTTTTATTATTATTAGTTTTTGAATGATATATTGTTTTTGACATAGTTAAGTGTAATGCAATGATTAAATTTTATTATAGTTGTTGTTAATATTGCTAATAAGTTAATTAATTGTATAATAACTTCCTTATAAAAATGTATACATTTTAACATAAATAAATTAAATTTCTTCACAACATAAGTTAATGTACGTGACTTTCAGAGAATGCTGTTTGCGCTTATAATTGAAGTAGCATTTTATATGTTTTTTTTTGTAATTCTGATATTTTTGTATGTAACAGTGTGTACTTTGTTGGTGCAATAAATAAATAAATAAATAGTCAAGCCGTCAAATACTGTCAAAAGCTCACTTAAAACTGGCATTCAAACTCAGAGTTTGTGGAAAAAAGTCCCCATAACTAATCAGGCCTTTTTCCATTTTATGCTAGCAACATTTAAATGTCATTTACTGACGTCCACAGAATACATGTACCCTGACGGGAAGAACGAAAACTTCATACAAAAAAATGCCAACACCTTGCGACACTAGCGCGCCAGTTTTTGATTCATGAACTAATTTTCGCGCCAGATTGAATGTGTGCGTGTGTATATGTATAATGCTTATTGCACACTCTCACATTCAATATTCTATATTTTAATCATATATTAATTACTATTTCTATTCCAATATTTTACGAATGTAGAATGTAATGTCTACATTCGTAGAAAATTGGAATGGAAATAGTAATAAATGAATATAATATATATTGGATATTTTAAATATTTAATAACACAAACCTTAAGAGTAAGATTAAAGTTAACAATTAGTTATGCATTGATACATAAGTAGAAAATTAGAATGGAACCCGGTTAATAGTTTTTCAGAAATAAAACAATTATTTTCATAGAGATTTAAATATATTATTGACAGTAGTAATATTATAGAGAGAAATAAACTTGGGCACTCAATTTTAGATGATTACAGAGGCATCTTAGAACACACCGTTTTCAGCAACCCATTATTATTCGTTAAACATCTTCATTAAGTAAAACGACTCTAAATAAATCACCATAAACTAAATATTTACTGGCTAGTAACACCACACTTAAGTTATTATTCTACGAAATACGAAATAAACTAAATCGACATCAAAGTTTTGAATTTGGCTCAGAAAGTTAAACAAAACTAACTCCAATCAATTTGAAAATGGTTTCAAACATTTCCGTTTAAAATAATATCTAATTGATGTAAAATGAACTTTGAAACTTTTTCTTAATTTCATAAATAAGTAATAATCTAGGTTACAAATCGGACATAAAAATAATCGGAACGTATAATTTATACTTTTTAAATCATCGATTAAACAACTTTTATTTGTTATGTATATTACAAAATATATAGTTTATAATTTATAAGATAAGTAAAGATAATTTTAACGGGCAGGTGACAAAGTTATTAAAATGCAAAAATAAAAGATCCTAAACTGTAATTGAAATATAATGCGTAACATAGATCAATAGCGATTTCTTTGTCTAACAAATTATTATACAGTATCACCTGTAAAAAACCCCAAGGTTGAAGCAACAAGACATAACCTGCAATATTATTCATAATCTCACCAATGTGCAGGTCATATATAATTACACAAGGTGAGATTAGACAGAGCGTGTGCATGTGAGGGATTCGCTAGCGTTTATGGTATTGCCGTTAAAACAGTAAGAAGATTATGTACATTAAAAGCTCAAGGCAAGCTATCTTAAGAAATCTGATGAGTTAGTTGCACAAATAAAATCACACATAGAATCTTTTCCAAACAAGCTACGCCATTATGGAAAACTAGATCCAAGAAAAGGCATTTGGCGTCCATTCTTGACATGATGAAGATGTTTACTTTATTTCTTCAAAATACTATCCAACAGAATATCAGACTAAAATAGATAATAATATCGACACGAAGAAAGCAAATAGCGCTTGCTCGTATCAATTTTATAAAAAAAATTATCAACACAACTATAACTATTCATTTGGCAAGCCTCACACAGATATTTGCAGTAGCTGTACAGAACTTGCAGCTATGTTTGAAAAAGAAAATTTCAGTGCAAGAACTTCCTAACCGAACGCTTTACTTGAATGTCATAAAAAAAAAGCACTATTCTACGTCTACTATTCACGTTCTATGACAACTTAGATTCAGCTCAAAATCTAAGTGAATCGGATGCATCTATCGAGTTAATTTGGTTTGATTTTAAACAAAATTTACCATGCCCTTACTGTTGGAGAAGTATATTATTCAAGACAATTATGGCTACATGTTATGTCAGTATACTTTTTGAAAAAAGCAAAATCAATGATGAGCAAACGAAGTGGCTTCTGTTATTGAACACTACATTGAGACATTTATCCCACATTCTGTAAAGGCACTTATCGTTGTTACTGATGACCAAACCAGAATGTTAATATCACCATGGTGACGTTTTGGGAGTCATTTGTCTTAAAGGGAAAATTTCAATCTGTTTGTTATTTTTTACCAGAAAGGGGTATATAGTTATCTAACCTGTGATAGTTATTTATCTATAAAAGAGAAACCGTAGAGTTACCGGATGATTGGATTGAAATAATAGCATCAAGATTTAAAGTGGTGGAACTAAAATCAAACATGATAAAGGATTACACAAGACATTTCGGGAACTTTTTCATGAACGCTCGCGTCCGACATCATTATAGCCACGCGTTCATTCAGAAAAAGAA